CCCAGCACTCAGTGGTGCGTAATGGTCTGTTCTGCCTGGAAACAGCAGCAGATGAGAAAGAAAACCACGTGTACACCAAGGCACTGATGGCGTATGCCTTCGCCCTGGCAGGGAAGGAGGACAAGCGAAAGGCAATCCTTGGCTCACTTGAAAAGGAAGCTGTGAAAAAGGGTGAGTGCGACTGGTGGGACATCTCTTTCTTCCAACTCAGTGGCCAAACATCTACCCTTGATAAAAATGGCTTTTTTTTGGTGGAGGAATGGCTGTAGGACATGGCTTCAGTGGATGGGAATAAGTGGAGGGAGAGGAAAGACTTGTATAATGCGGTAGCATTTTTGAGAACTCTCTCTCATTGCTCAGTCCTACTTCTCTGCTCTGAGGGAGTCCATCAGGAAGCACCACGCACCATTCCCATTAATGCTGAACGCAAGGATACCTCTGCTGGTATCTCTCCTCAGAGAGAGACTGGACCACCAGCAGATCAAGAGCTGCCTTCCAATAACTACTAATAATTGCTTGCTGTCTTGTCTCCATGCTCCCTGCCTCCTGTGAAGATGGGTCTGTTCATTGGCAGCGGCCTGGGAAAGAGCCAGAGGTTGATCTCCCGTACTACCACTACCGAGCTCCCTCTGCTGAAGTGGAGATGACAGCCTATGCGCTCCTTGCCCACCTCACCACGCAGCCGGCACCTTCCCAAGAGGAGCTGTCATTCGCCTCTCTTATTGCCAAGTGGATCAGCAGTCAGCAGAATCCCAATGGAGGCTTCTCCTCCACCCAGGTGAGCTGCTTCTAACCTGCAGCCTCACACATCAATGTCAGAAGGTGGGAAGTGTCAGGGAGCGAGGTGGGAGCACAGTACGGTTCACCAGGGCAGGGACTGCATCCCTGCAGTACATCCCTGCAGCATCTACCATGGTTGCCAAGTTCCCAAGAGGCTAGAGGCTGGTGTGTCAGGTAGTGCCTCTGGGAATGACTGCTATATTGATTAACAACCTGGTTTTCTTGACACAGTGGGGCAGAGCAGTAGGGAGACATGGGACGTGTGTCTGTGCAATTGCAGAGGGCTCCCACTGCAGTTTGTTTGTGCATATGGAGCTGCTGCTTCACCCAGTGGCGAGCGAGTGAAGGCTGCACAGAGCTCCACGCCAGGGAGCTCCGGAATTGCCACTGCTGTGCAGAGGGCACAAGAAGGGACTGGAAAGATGCAAAAGCTGCTGTTACCCTCTGTCCTTCATCCTTGAAACTGGAGAAAGTGCAGAATGGAGGGGTGGATGCCTGCCGACAGCCAAGGGCAGGCTGTGGGAGGACAGGCTGTGGAAGGGCTCACTGTATCCCCCTGGGTGCTGGGACCTGTCTCTTTCAGGACACAGTGGTGGCTCTCCAAGCCCTGTCCCTGTACGGAGTTGTCACCTATGCCAAGAGCGGAGCAGCTTCCAAAGTGACCCTGCACTCAGGAGGGGACTTCCAGCAAGACTTCCAAGTGGATACCACAAACCGGCTGCTGGTCCAGCGAGTGACCCTGCCCCAGGTGCCAGGGGAGTACAGCACGGAGGTGTCTGGCGAAGGATGCGTCTACCTGCAGGTGAGGGGGACAGGGGCAGGTGGTACCCTGGGAGGGGAGCCCCTTGCCAGGCAGGAACCAGGGAGAGGGCAGAATGGACAGTGGTGAGGGAAGAAGTGGGAGGGAAGGCTCTGGGAGAGGGAAGAGGAGAAGAAAAGCAGAGGTGTATGGAGAAGCAAGAGTGGGAGGTACGGAGGGAAGGATCCACAATGTGGAGGAGTTGTGAGAACGGGAGAAGGGAAGAGGCTGGGTGGGGAGAGGACGGTGTCTCTCACGTGCTGAGCATGCAGGCACACAAACATGCTCACACAGAGCTGCTGGCTCTCCCCTAGACAAGCCTGAGGTACAACGTGCAGCCCACGCAGGAGGATGCCCCCTTCATGCTTCACGCGTACACAATTCCAGAGACATGTGAGGACTCCAAGGCTCACAAGGTCTTTGAGCTAGGCATAAATGTCAGGTGAGTCTGCATCTGGGTCTGAGCCTTCCTGAGAAGCCATGGCAGCTGGAGGTCTGGTGAGCTGGTCTGGAAGCCCTGGAGGGGCAGTGCACCCCAGGAAGGTGGGCAGGGAAGGGCTGGGCTGGGAGGAGAGACTGTGGAGAAAGAACATGTCCTGCAGTGGTGGAACTATGGGGGCAGCCCAGGACTGGGCTAGTGGGAGGCTGCATGGATGCCCAGGAGGCCCTGGCATAGCTGGAGAAGAAGGTGCTGGAGTGCCAAGGATGTGGTGGGGTGTCAAGTGTAATGGAAAAGGTAGAAGTTGAGGTGCACTGAATGCTTGTTGCTTGGTTCCTTAGTTACACTGGGCAGCGGAATGCCTCCAACATGGTGATTGTTGATGTGAAGATGCTCTCAGGTTTCCTCCC